ATTCATTAAAATGTTTAAATTTTTTTATTTCCACACAGAAATATTTGCTGTATCACGTCATTCTAAGAAAGATATAGGAAGATGCTTCAAACTTATTTGTCAATAAGCAGCAAACTCAGAAATGACTACTGTATCAACTACTAAAGCATGATTAGTGAGTAATGAGTATATTGAGGAAGTATAGGTTTGAAAGATCACCTATTACTCAGGTTGGTTGTAGATGATCTTGTTGATACTTACATGTACATGCATAATTTATTTTCATTTTCATAGATACCATTAAAGAAGAAACAAGCAATCTCCTGGCAAAAGATAGCTTTTCTAAGAATGACTATAATTTTAAATTGGATAAAATTTGAATTAAATGTTATTTTTATTTTGCGGGAGTTTATATACAAGCACAATATTATTTTTAACTTTTTTGGCAAAAATTAATGATAATTGAAGGGCGTGGTGTAGGTGTGGTTAGCCTTGCCTTAAAACCATGTGGAGTCATCATGAGAACTAGAATGGGTACTCCTGGGTTTCCTATGGTCAATACAAGATAAGGGAGCTTCTGGTTGGCTGATAGACTGAACGTGTTTAGTTGCTCCTAGTGAGTCAGAGAGTTGTTGCAGGGGATAATGGATTCCATGCTTACCTCAGTGGACTTTCTTCAGTTTCTTGTGGTGTTGTCCTCTGAGAGAAGGTTAGAAAAGGAATAGTATACTTATGTTGCATAGAAAGTCTGAACCGATTCCAATCACAATGTTCTGATTAAATTTGGATTTTTGATTTTAGCGTTTTTATGATTTTTTAATGCATATACATATAGACCTCTTCAGGTGAGATTGACGGTGGCCTATGAATATCATTACTGTTTATTACGGTATCCACCTACGGTGATAATTGGCCGCCATTTTGGACAGCAAGATTCAATGGAGGATGAATGAAGAAAAGGCAAAACTGATTCTTTTCGTTGGCATGGAGCTTTTTAAGCTACAAAAGCTGGTTGGAGGAAAGAATGGTCACTGCTAAGCATCTCCTAAAAGAGATTTGGTGCAATATGAAGCACATTTTTTAATAGAGCTTGCTTTCTGCATTAGCCCATTAATACTGCATAGAAAGTTGCCGTCCACGAAAATTATTTCAGAGTCAGCCAGGCTGAGTCACGCCTCTTGCCGTATATCATTCTTTGACGTAATTCATTCTCACCCAAAGAGGTCTATACATGTTCTTATGTTGCATGCATGGAAAGTTTGAGCTAATACTGATTAAATTTGGATTTATTAGGAATTTTTCAAGTTCCTCCCCATCAGTGTTTTGGCCCCCTAGGCGCTAAGACTATTTTGAATGAATTGTTTATGGTAGCGACCCACGATTAAAATTACTGATGGCAAGAAGCTCTCCACATCAAAGGCAGATCAAAGTCCAAGGTGCTGAAATGAAGCATAACAAGAAAACTATGCTGCAGCAAGAGTTACCTGGTCTATATGATGTAGTCTGGCCTCCATACTTTCCATAAATGCTGCTTGTAAGCCTGTAGTACCTTGTAGAGCTCACAAATTGGCCAGGCAGTGTCACCGCCTTTGATCTTGAGGCCTTCTTGCCGTCAGTAATTTACATCCTGGGTGGATACTGTATAGAAAAAAAATTATTTGTTATGAATAAATATTGTTATTGTAATCATATTTATTGAAAATTGTCTTAGCTCCTAAGGGGTCTATAATTTTTTATTAATAGTTTTTAATAATTCTCCTCTCAATAGGCTGGTCCAGTCTTGATACACTAGCAGTACTTGGTTCTCATAAAGGTGACGTCATTCTGAAAGTTCTTCAAACACCTCCTCCTCATCCCAGCAACAATCTAATGGCCCTCTCTTCAGTCTTCATGGAGTCCTTCCAGTATGATGATACTCTTCCACAATATATCAGGAAGTTGAACGATGCCCTTTTAAATGGCTGCTGTCATTCACTTTAACTGAGGAGGGATTGTGTGTATCCAAATTAATGCTCCATGCACATTCCTGGCATTGGTTTTTTTTTCAAAAAATGGCTCCAAAATCACCCCCAATTTTTATTACATTCTATGATACATATTAATGTCCATATGCTGTCTAGAAATTTTGAGCTGATTCCAGCTTGAACTTTTTGAGTCACATTCATTTTAAGAAATTTGCCATAATCTAAAAATACCCAAGGCTATTTTTTCAGAAAAAGGGCTAAAAAGTTGCCTCTAATTTTTATTACATTTTCTGATACATATTGATGTCCTTATAAACTGTGTAAAAAGTTTGAGCCGATTCCAACTTAATTTTTTGAGTTACAGCCATTTTAAAAAGTTTGCTGAAATCTGAAAAATACCCAAGGCTTACAGTAAATATAATCCTTTCTTTTCTTCTTATTATTTCCTCTCCTTGAGCTATGTATATGTACATGTACATTAATCATTAATAATGTACAATTATGATCCTTAACTTCATTATTATCCAGTGGTCTACAATGTCTCTAATGCTATGATCATTGCTGCCATTCATCCACTGGAATACTGTAGAATGTTCACTCCAGGTAAATATTTACAATTTTATGATAAAATATAATTTAAAATACCTCCTATTCTGCCCATGTTTAGATGGTCCCTCTCTCTTACAAACTCTGTCTTTGTCATCATTTCATAAAATCTCAGTCTCTCCTGATCTAGGAGTGTCTCTTAATTCATTGGATCAATGTTCCCTCCCACTCAATGCACTGGAGACTGGAACTGAGACATAGTGTCATTCTTCCTTAGGAATAGAGGTAAATGATACTATTTATAGTAACACTGATACTATTTATAGTACAATACTATTGATTGACACTATGCTATTGTAGTATATGATATATCATTGTCTATTGTAGTAATTGATATTATTTATTGTAATAATGCTTATGTACACGTTTGGTAGTGATGTAGTAATTCAAAAATTTCCCATTGCACAAAAATTAGTTGTCGGACTCTACTCAAACTTTTTATTAGCAACAAACAGACGTAAATAGTAATAATGATGTATATTGCTTTGCTTGGCTCGTCCCCTTAATGTTTTACATTCATCTTGTAATAATGTATCATTAATAATAATAATAGTTATAAACAGAACAAAGTAAGATACTATAGGCAGCCATCTTAAGAAAATAAGTGATAATAGACATAATAATTTCAACAAATGAAAGAACTAGGCAATTAACTGGTTTGATGTACAATATTTATCTCTAATGTTAGTAGCAATAGATTTCTCTTCTATTGTATCCAGTGCTGTAGCTACTGATGACCAACTGGGACTTCCTTTCTCTTTTACTTTATCTTCTCCTCTTAACCAGGCTGACATACAAGCAGGGAACATTTTACTGGACCTCCTCTGTGTCTCTCATCTATATCAACTAGTCTAGGATCATATAATCCTAACTGTAGACCTAGTCTGTACCATACAGAACAGGGCAAATGTTGTTCTGATGTTAATTCTTTAATGACAATATCAAGAACTTTAATACCATATAACACTTTAATTTGGCGGAGTTTTATTTTGGCAATTGGCGGTTTGCAAGCAGAATCGCCAATATTAAAACCGCCAATCATTAATGCGCATGCTCAGTAATGCACGTGTACACAAAAATCGCCAAATTAAAAACCTCTGATTACAATTTTACAGCAAAATCGCTAAAATAAAGTGCCGCCAAAATAAAGCGTTATACGGTATCTATAAAAATAATAATTAATAATGTGTATATACACTGTACAGTCTACACTCCCACTACTTGACAATTGTGATAGTACATATTATAACAAACCTAGCTTTATTGGAGTCAATGGTGTCTCGAATTCTTTAGTTTGGTGTCTTGAATTCTTTAGAAGAGGAACTGGGAGAGAATCCATCAAAAGTATGTTACTATAGACTAGTAGTTGAATGAGTTACAGTTCCTGATTAGTTGGTAGATTATTTGTTGGTAACTTGTTGAGTGGTGACACTGTGTCTGACTGTCTGTGAATAAGGAACCTATAATCTTTATATAGTAGTACTCTTGTGATGTCAGTAATGTAGTGATGGGCGATATATCGATTCTTTATCGATATAAACGATATTTTACGGAATCGATTTGAATCGTCATCGAAAATTTTATGCAATTTTCATCGATCTATTGACCACGCCCATTTATTAAGGTTAAATAACTAATTTTAATAACTAATTGCACTGTTGAACTGCAAGAAAGAAGCAACTGACCAATTGTTAGCTCAGTCTACTTCAATAGGAAGAGAACCAAGCTCAAGAGCATGGAAATGATTAAGAAATGATCTTCTCTCATGTCCAGTACAGTTATATCTGTGCTAAAATCATTAGCCACACCCTTGACACACCCCCAAAATGAAGGTGTGGTTATCGTATCGTTAATAATCGATATTTCCTGAAAAAGTCCATTATCGATCGTTATCGAAAATTAAGAAAATTGGCCATATCGCCCATCACTACAGTAATGTATTGCACAATAGGTGTTAACCCATGACATGAAG